AAAGTCCCAGAACTGGCCAATGGTGGCACAGATAATTCCAGATTCTGCCAGGAATTGAACCTTTGTCATCCATTGTGTACCTGTTTTCTTTACTGACTGAGATATCCCTGTTCACTGTGCTGAAAGTACTTTATAAAAACTATAAGGACAATTCAGAATGGTATGGTACATTTCACATTCCAAACATACTGAGATTAATTTTCAACTGATGTATTCAGGAAAATGTATCTTAATTAATATGGACATCACAGTATATCATGTGAGAATGTGGACTGGATTCATCTGATTATGACGGGGACCAGTGGCAGGATTTTGTTAACTCAGTAACGAACCTTAAGATTCCACAAAAGGTGGGAAATGTCTTGGCCAGCTGAGCAACCATCAGCTATCATGAGAGACTGCTCCAAGAAGTTAGTTACTCATTACATATTAAAATGCAGTAAAGCTACTTCAAGACTTCGGAATGCAAAAGATATTTTACACAACATACAATATGACTTGAAAATTTACATGTAGGAAAACTTTTTTATAGAACATAGTTACAAATTTCAATGTTAAGATATACTTTTTAACCCTGTAATGCCAACAAAAAATGCATACACAAATGCTAATAGCTTTAAAACTAACTTTTTACAAGCATTTCAATACGTTATATTTTAGCAATATCTTAAAGTAAATATGTACATCAAAATTAAAATTACAGAGACATGGAAATCAATGAGATATGACAACTATCAGCATCTCATGTCACATGTACAAAGTCTTCAAATAACGATACAAGGCAATTTACAGCACAGTCCTTTATATACCAAACTCTGACCAGAAATACCAGATAATGCTTCCTGTTACTGATAAGAACTTTGTATGTAGACCTCAAGCATTTCCTACTGACATCTACTTATATCATAATATCCCAGGTTAAACTGTGTTCCTGGTTCTCAATACTTCTGCTCTTTGTTGGTTTTCGATCAAATAATGTGAAGTTCTATTCAGTACTCATTTTTCTCTCTCTATTTTATGGTATATAAAGGTGTGACCAGATAAATGGTAATGAAGATGACCCAGAGTTTGGGGGGAGGGAATGGATCTCTCAGAAATGGGTATACAGAGATACATTACAAACCCCAAATCCTTACACTATTAAAGCTCAATGTGTGTGATTATAATTTCTCTGTAATACCACATACAGGTATTAATATAAACGACAAAGAAAATTAGGCCAATAAATATGTTTAGCTTATTCTGAGTACTGGCTGGTTAAAAAATATGAAAAAAAGTTACAGAAGTTGGTTATCCAACCAAGTAGGTGTTTGACATAAATGAAAATGGCTTGTTTTTGAAGCGTATGTCTGTAAGAACATCTGCAAGAAAGAGAAAATGATCCCAGGCTTCAAGGCAGCATAGAATTGTGTGACAGCGGTCTTGTGTGACAACAATAAGAGATATTTTAAGCTGAAACCTGTTGTCACCTACTACGATGAGAATCGTAGAGCAATGAGGGAATTTCTCAAATCTTCCCTTACAGTCTATGAGAAAAGATGGATATCAAGTCTAACATTCACTGAACAGTTTAATGATCAATCACACTGTGAAGTAAGAGCATACAAGGCCAAAACGATGGACTTCAAGATTTATCTTATGATGAATAACTGTACTGGACACAATCCTATAACTAAGATATAAAAGCACATAAAAATAATATTTTTGCCCCCAACATAACACCACTTCTGCAGCCAATGGTTCAAGGACTTACTGCAACATTTAAAGCTTATTACCTCTGAAAGACATTTGCTACATTTATTCAGGAATCAAATGGTAAATCCTCAACATCCAACATACCATAGACATTGCAGCTGAAGCATGGGATTAACTGTATCAATTCTGCATAAAAGAAGCATGCAAGACACTGCATTCTCATTTTGTTCATGACTTCTTAAACTTGTGAGATGAGTGAAGAAATGAAAAAAATTGCAAAAGCAAGGCCAGGTTGAAGGAAAGCGAGGACTGGAAAGAAGACGGATACGGAGACCAAAATGTTATATATGACTGTAGTCTTGCAAGGCCATAACTTTGTACCAACGTGAGCTGCAATTTTTGTGCAGATTTTGTGGAGGGGCCTTGCACAGATTACTTTGCCCTTGGGCCCACACCCCTCTCGGAGTATCAATATTATACAGTTATGTAAAGCCATTTCCATTGGGAACTGGAGGCTGTTCGAAACTTAGAGTTGCTGAACAACGGAACTTAACAACTAGACCACACATTTAAATGACACAGCTATGAAAAAAATCAATTATAAACTGTGCTTACTATCGAATCTGTGACAATTTATATCCAAAACTACAAGAAAATATATGTGAAATATGAACACAACATCCAATACAAAAGCATTGCATACAACACAAAGTATCATAATAGCGGGGCCTTGGTAATGCCAAACATGTTAATCCTTAGAAGACCACATGCAAAAGAACATTTTAAATTCAAATAGATATAATATACACTGTACTCCACTGAAAATTATCTGTAGGAAAATGTATAGGTTAAAGTATTCAAGGATTCACACTATGTATATAGCAAAGTAAAAACATTCTAATTAATAAAGAATTTGGCATTATAACTGTTTTTCTGCATTTCCATATAAACCAGTAACATATGTACAAATGAGTTCACATAATATCTACTTAGAAGTTTTCTCTCATCTTGACAAACGAGATCACATAATTTCTAATAATATAAAGTTTTAAAAGTAAAGTAAAGCTGTCCCACTATACGCAATGTAGGCGCTTGGGGGGAGTGGAGGTATAGCTCCTACTCATTCTTGACCTCGGCACTAGATGGGGGGTGAGTGGTCATCATCACGCCCCGGCCGGCTTTACCCCCGGGAAAGGACCCCGGTACCCATTGTATAGGAGGCTGGGTGGGCCCCAGAGCCAGTCTGGACGCAGAGGCTAGAGGAAAAATCCTCTGCCCCCGTCAGGGATCGAACCCCGGTCGCCCAGTCCGTAGCCATTCACTATACCGACTGAGCTACGCCAGCTCCAATACAAAATTTTATCTCATGAAAAGTAAATACATTCTATAATTAGCAGTCAATCCTACAAGCTGCATCCTACAGCTCACATTTAAACTACTGTAACTCGGTAGCCAGGTCAGTTCCTAACAGCAAACTCCACTCACTTCAGCTTACCATGATATTCCCTATATACTGCCTTATGTGATCGAATACAGACAATTTGTTACTAACTGGTAATATAAAATGCCAACTTTTAAAGATTTAATTTAATAGAAAACTTGTAACATTATCTGATTTAAATTCCCAAACTTCTATAACATACAACTACTGCTTTCCTCCAAGTTTCAATGTACATGATGAGGTAGCAATAACTAAAAAACGTACACCACTTAGTGACCCATATGTTTCGTAAGGTATTCACCATACCAAATATGATTCAAATGAAAGTGACGTGTTTTTAAAGCAATCTAATAAAATTTGATTTGTGGTTCGAGTTACACTAGACTGTTATGAACAAAATTTAAACCCACACAACAGCTTTTAGTGTAGAAACCAATCATAAAATTCACTGCAATCTGGAGTCTACAGGCATAGACAGCAAGAATTTTGAATGCTTTATGTTTGTAACTTAAAAATTATAACATTTACAACAGAATGAAAGATTGGAAAACATGTGAAGATGTACTCTGGATTGAACTGATTCAGAACAGAGATCACCATAAAACACTGAATTAGTACAAATTACTTAACATATTCAAAAAGATATCTAGTTACCAGACCTATCCCTTGCTTCCAGCCACATATTCAGAAAACAGCATTTTAAAAAAGGAAACCAGAAAATTAAACTAGTAATCCATACACCGGAATGATTAAAAAAGACTTGAAGGTATAAAAATGGCCAAACGAGATTTTTGTTCTATTCATATTACTTACAAAATCACCAGTATGCCACCATTACTAAAATATAATGTTTCTTTTCCTAAAACTCTATGCAAATACATGGTGATATTTCTCACTACTAATTAAATCATTCTCATCACTACCATTACAAGAAATACTAATACCATTAAGAGTCCATAGTACAAAGAAAATTTTATAAATTACTGGAATCTGACATGCATTCAAATACATTTATCATAATAATTTGTATATGACAACTGCGTGCATGGGATCCAGTAATATAATGAAAGTGGACTACATATCACAGTTTAAATGTTAGATAGTATGAAAAAATCATCCTATTCTATGCCTATTTTATGCCTACAGTTTCTTATTTTGGAGTTCTATTAGTATTTGCTGAAGCCGAAAAGTTTCCGCAGACAAAAAGCATGGGAATCATTATTATATAAGGATGAGTAATAATATAAAACCAGATGTCATGGTCAAGTGGTTAGCACTCCGGCTTCACATTCAGGTGGTCCCGAGTTCAAATCTCAGCCGAGATACCTGCTATCCTCAGCCCTTCAGGCAAATGCCAGACATTCACTAACATACTCTCACTTGACGCTATATAGTCTGTGATACTGAAAGAGCATCATTAAATAAGTAACATAATACTATGAATTGTTAACGTGTTTTAAACTGATCCTGAAATCACGATTGTCTCTTGGTGTTAATTACAATATCCTTTATTTTTCTGTTGTTTTATTTGCTAAACAAAAATTCAACATGACACATAATTAAGACTACATAACGAGAAAATATGGTACCCTGAAGAGTGGCAGCACCAATTAGAGCACAGACTATTTAAATCATTATAACCGCATCAGGTTCTAACTAGCTGATGGGAGATATAATACCAACACAAAGCTTCCAATTTGTAGTTGTTTAAAATGTATCCAAATGTGGCAGATTTACATCAATTTGTAATGCATACACAAATTTTATAACAGTTTGGTTGAGCCATAGGCAAAGAGCAAGGAAACATTTTATAACACATATATTGCAAATACGTTATGAAAAATGTGACAACTGTAATATAAACCTTGTTGTCCAGGGTAGAAGCCTGTTGCTGGTGGATTTTTCTCCCACGTAGTCATCTGGTTGTAAGACTGTACTGTAAACTGTCACAAGACACAAAACAAAAATTGATTTGTTAGACTATCGAAGCTGCAAACAGCCACAAGATACAAAACAAAAATCAAAACAGATTTGTTATACCATCTCACTATTTGGAATGCAAACTTTCTATAAGTTCACGTTATAGTGTACTATAAATCATGCTCAATCATCAGCTATATTATAATTCTTAAAAAAGTATTTATTTACAGAAACGACAAGAAATCAAAAACTGTGAAATTAAGACACGGTTATATATGAAAATTACACAACTACGTCAAGACTTGACGCTCGGTTTGCCAAAGGAGTGGGCTATCTATACTCAAATTTGTTGCTGTTAACACAAAACTATTCCATAATGATACCAGTTAGTTCAAAAATCTAAATGAACAAGACATATCAAGAGTAGCAAACAGAATATATCTGTCAAGTGACAGTCCATATGTCGTTGAGTCACCATTTCAGGACTTCGTAACTCACGCAGGATCAATAATATTGTGCAACAATCATAAGACAGTTTAATATACTTACATGATTTAACAGTTGTAAAACGATGCTACTGCAACAACGTTCTGTCTTCTAATCGTCTGACAAATAATAATCACTAATATTCTACCTCTTACGCCAGAATTTCCACTAGAAACGTCCAGAAATATAACTTGCAACTATACGCAAATCACAGTTAATGCCAACCCACTGATAATACCAACTTAAAATCACGATTGCGCATAGTTACTGCAAGGGCTGCCAATATGTCAAATGTACCAGAGATACTTCTTTAAATGTGCATCATGAAAGACATCATGCAATCGTTGTCCTTGATGCTCATAGAGTCTTTGGTTTTTGACTCCAGAAATAGAGATTCCTATCTAAATATCAACATCAACCATAAGAAAGCTAAACTGCAACACACCAATCCTAATTGCGTTGGTCACATTGACGGAGTACAACATCCGGTTTTTCTCCAAAGTCTAAGGAGTGACGTCTTTTAGATTACCAACTAAGGAAAATGGCGAAGAAAACTTACGATCTCTTGTTTAAATTGTTGCTGATTGGTGATTCAGGTGTGGGAAAAACATGTATACTCTTTAGGTTTTCAGATGATGCCTTTACAACGACGTTCATATCAACTATAGGTGAGTATGTAATTAAAATTAATAGGAGCACGATAGACCATTAATTATATTTTTGCCATAGAAAGGGTGGGTGGTCATATTAAAAAAAATAATACGTCGGTGACACAGCTAATTTCTTTCAGTCATATGTATTGAATGAAGTTTTGATGGTCTTACGCCTTTAGCACGAAATTGATACAGTTTTGTGCAGGCTTGCGCTCCGTTTGGGTTTTTATGTTTAATTCGGAGATCCTAGGATAGCACATTCGCGTGTATAGGGGTGGGGCAAAACATTCTTGGTTATGACATAATATACCCGGTTTACAAATATTGTGTTCGAAAATGAGAGTGAAAATTTTGTTTGAATATGTGAAGTTCACTGTAAGTGAAATAGTTTTGAAGTCTTTTTGAATATGTCATTGAATGTTAGTTATTTAACTATATTGTAACCTTCATAATGCATATGTCTATGAAAGTAAAGCCATCTATACTTTTACATATATGTCGAATGTGACGTTATAAAACTTCTAAATTAAGGCTTGTTTTGTGTGCATGTGTGTACACATATGGTTATTTTTTTCAGGAATTGATTTCAAAATAAAAACTGTAGAACTTCGAGGAAAGAAAATCAAACTTCAGATATGGTAAGCCTTTGAAATTTGATTACAGTTGAATGCACTTTATTTCATTTATATCGAATGGTATTAATGATGAATTTTATTTGAAGGGATACTGCAGGCCAAGAAAGATTCCACACCATTACAACTTCATATTACCGCGGTGCAATGGGTATAATGCTGGTCTATGACATCACCAATGAAAAGAGTTTTGAAAATATAGTCAAGTGGTTGCGAAATATTGATGAGGTAAGTATACTCGGTGCAGAACTTAAGTGACTGTAATATCTAAACCTCAACAATTTGAATTACTCAGATTTTGTGGGCAAGTTCTGTAAAATATTCATAATTTGAGATGTAATTTACATACCATAGTTATTTTAGTTTCCTGTGGTAGCCATTGAAGCAAAGGCCAACATCACAGTTCTTAAACCAACAAATAAAATCCATTCTTTTCCCCCACTGTTTTAGCAGATAACATATCTTCACTGTGGTGTACCCTTTGTTGGCAAAATTCTTGTAATTCTTTGTAAGCCAAGGCTGTGTGTTATAGGTGTATCAGCCAGGCACTATATGCCAGTTCTCCAAACCTTGTCATCAGAATTATCTTTCAGTATTGAAATATAATTTAAGGTTGGGCATTTAAATAAATTCTGCTGAGAGAAAATTCAGATGCCTTGAGTAAATGGGCTGGCACAAGATGAAGCCAAAGGGTGTCTGACTTTAATAACAACAATACTGATCACTGTCCTTAGTCTTGTTATGTCCAAAAGACTAAAGATGTTGCAGGAGGGTTTATTATTTTATTTTCTGTAGTGTTCTCTTTTTTGCCAAATATATAATAAAACTTTTTTAACAATGTAAGTTATTACTTCATAGAGACACATCAGTGATGGCTGCTACAAATAATACTTTAACCTCAAAGTGCACTAAATGTGTAAAAAAGAATTCTTTCTCAAAAAGAACATTAAAAGGTCTAGAAGCAAAACAAATATATCACAGCTAATTCTGTAAGAAGAGGCGTTGTTATCCATACCCTAGAAGCCGTAATCACTAATAGATAATATAATCTTAAACTCAATAACGGCACTGACATTGCCCTGACAAAAGTAAGTCGTATTTTTTTGTACAGTGCAGTGAAGGTACGGACATGGATTAGACATGGGTCGAAAATGTATAAATGGACTCTAGTATTTTTTACATAAATACGTCTATATGGAAGGGTCATTCGGCAAAAAAGTGAAAGGAAAACGTGTAACGAAAATGTGTAAGATCCGTATCAACAAATCGACAACAATGGTTACCTATGGAACGTCGTGTTTACTCGGCATTGTTGTTACCTAGGAAAACTTGTAAAATCCATATCAACAATGTGTAAATATTGACCGACAACAATGGTCAGCTTGCGTGCATTGTTATGTTACCTAGGAAACGTCATCTGTTTACTCGGCATTGTTGTGTTACATTACTGCCGTCAACAATCCGCTTTCGTAACAAGACGGATGACACTGAAGATAACATTACATTACATTACTTTACTTTACATTAAATTACATTACAGAGACGTAAATATAATTTAAATACAGAGACGTATTTACGTCAAATTCTCTGGAACTGTGGTTCCACTGTAACTTTTTCTCTGTGTGGAGTTCTTCTGCATCCTGAAGGCATGGTACTACACCATCAAAATCTACCAAAATTAATATGACTTTTTGTGTTATTCTTTTGTGAAATTTGTGAAGCATTTTTTCTTCCCCCTTCAGACAGTGTAAAATCCTACTTGTGGAATTTTTTAAGTTACAGCATTTAATCATGTCCTCCATATCAATGCCTGGCAATCAACCTTAATGAAATATTGTTTTTTTGAAATGAATAGACATTATGCCAAGGCATGTAGTGACATATCAGTCATCAAGAAATCATTACAAATACTTGTGTTATGATAGCCCAAATTAGACATATCCACCATAAAGGATTGTATGCGTTGCTCATACACGGATATGATTGATCAGTTTTGATATATGTCGCCTTGATTTCATTTATATTCAAAAATCTGTATGAATTAATGAGTCCATTGAACTTACCTTATCATAACACAAATATTTATTAAAATTATAAATTATAGATTTTAATTTTTTTGAATGTTCAAAATTCTTATGGAATATCTTAAAAATTAATTATGCAAAGAATGCCAAATATTTGTGGCATTAATGGCATTCCGAGTGTGTTGGACAGTGATATGATGTGCAGGGCCGACATACTAAGAGTGTCATGAAGTTCTGAGAGGTTAAATTTAGTATAGAATAAATGTTTTTTATGGTAGATGAATCATTATTTTATCATTCTTATTTCAGCATGCAAATGAGGATGTTGAGAAGATGATTCTTGGTAACAAAAATGATATGGATGAGAAGAGAGTTGTGAGCAGAGAAAGAGGAGAAGCGGTAAGCATAATTTTGTATGAATGTTGGGCATCCTGGGATGTCAGTTTTCACCTGTCTGACTGCATCTGGAGTTCTCAACAATTTTCAGACCTGTATCGACAATTACTCATACATTCTTGTTTGTTCACAGGCTGTAAGGCTTAAATGAGTGTAGTTTATTGAACTGCCATGGTAATTTATTAAAAGTCGTATTAAATTAGGCCTGCAATTGTAAATAGGTTTACTTATTACTTCATAATTTTCTTTGGCATAACCAGTCTTCAGTGAGACATGTGAAACTGCTTCTGCTTCAATAATATCTCAATATCAGATTTAATTCCTGTTGTGATTCAAATGCATAGCCTGAAGTCTTCAGTAGTGATATGTTTCCTAGTTATTTGTTTGATGTTCTTCATTAAGTTCTACAGTTTCTTGCAGTGAAAGGTACTGCTAAATAACCACAACATTGACAAAACATAGCTTCCACTTCTTCTTAACCTCAGTACTAGATAGGGGTGAATGGTCAGTGTCACACCCCGGCCACGCTTTACCCCTGTGGATAGGACTCCCGGTACCCATTGGACAGGAGACTGGGTGGGCCCCAGGGCCTTTTTGGACATGGGCTAGAAGAAAAATCCCGGTCATCCAGTCTCTAGAGTGTCACTGTACAGACTGAGCTACCCTGGCTTCTAGTGTACGTGCTCATAAGGATTTAATTGGAATTTAAACCGTCTCAGAGTGCTGTATGTTACAAAATACAGTGTATTTATTGCAATTTTTTAAGCTAAAAACTCAAAATAAAAGCTATTGAGAGTAAATACATTTACCTTCATATGATGTTTCATAATAAGCCTTTATGTACACACCTACTATGTTTATTTTCAATTATTTTGATTTTTTCTATGTGTCAGTTGATTCTTTGAATTTAACCCCATACTTCTTATTTATGATAGTAGAAAGTCTCAAGAGTTGACTGTACTTGGCTTAGAACTGCTATGGGCATGTTTGTTTAGTCTGCCATGCCTCACAGTGAAATTAATATAATCTCTCGCATGTAATGGGTACTATGATTTAAAAGCCCAGCACACGGGTAACTCGTAAGATAAAGGTTAATTTTTATTTAAGAGTAATAGTGTGTATTATCTTACTTCGAAGCACTTTTCTGGAAGATCATGGTAGGCATTCAAGTGTCATTATTTTACCAAGTTGGGTTTTTGAAAGTTTGTGACATTGTCTCCAGGTGATTTCTGATGATTCAACAAAATTATTGTCTGTCTCAGATTGCACGAGAACATGGAATCAGATTCATGGAAACTTCTGCTAAGGCAAACATCAATATAGATCGAGCTTTCAATGAATTGGCAGAGGCCATACTGGACAAGACAGCAGGAAAGGATCCTACTGAGGCGCCGGATCGAGTGCTGGTAGATAAACGAGTGGACCGAGGTTCAAACAGATGTTGCTAGACAAACAAAATCAAAACAAATATTGAGAAAGATTGGGGATTCTACTTGTTATATATATTGAATATGTTGCCTTGTGTTCTGATGAGGATGTCCTCTTTCCTGGGTTAATTGGTTTCATTTAGAAGTTGGTATTGTAATACTGTTTGGGAATTTTATGTGCAAGGTAATCTGTTACAGAGAAGGTTCAGCCTACAATGCTGGTCATTTCTTTTTCATTGCTATCTGACCAGTGTGAATCCCTCATTTGCTAGGGATAACATTCATCGTGGTTGTTGGGAATTTCCTGTCTTTCTCTCTATTTGACCAAGAAGCTATCACAGCCGCCATGGTGCTAGAAAACAGACTTTTGAAGTGGGATTCAATAAACACAAGGAGAAAGGATCACCGATTCAAGTGAAAGAGAGCTAGAATATGTGAACTTACTACTATAGAAATTTTTGTGAATACAATTATTTTTTGTGTGTGAATATATCATTCACCATTGAGTGGCTACAGGCTCATAATAAAGGCAGTTTATGCGAGAGGGTACATTCGAGGTGGCCTGTTATAATTCAGTCATGAGACTGCTATTTGGGCTACAAAATCAACGAATAAGGAAAAGCGTCAAGGAGTCTGTGCATGCATTGAAGTGTGTCTTCTCTTGTTTGCCGGATGTCTATGTAAACCAACATGGTAGGTGTGACTGCCTTTCTAAGAAATAAAACTCTGTATGCTAATTTTACAGTGAAATCATGCCAAGTCACTTGGACTGTTGTAATATGAGTGAGTATGTTCAGTGTCATGGAAAACATTTCCTGTTTGATAGTTGTACAATCTTCAGATTTCACCGTAGTTTTTGTTTAGTAGTTATGTAATTATGAATAGAAAAATGCATTATGTGACACAGCAGTGCAGAGTTATTCAGATGTGAGTTTAGTCCCAAAAAAAAAACAGATTATTGTCCACAGTGCTGCACAGACTGTATCTTGTGGTGATGTGCATTAGAGTTAGCATCTGGGCAGCTCTGACAAGGGCTTATGTACCTATAGTTATGGTTATTTTTTTAAAGTGTCCAATCATAAGTCTTATTTCTGTGAAACATACATTGTGTTATACCAGAACCAAAATGTAGATGGAAATAGTGTCTAAACTGTTCCCCGTTATGTGTATCCTTATACTTATGTAACTAAATGCTTGAATCCTGCACATACCTACACATATTCATGACACACTTTCCAGGCACAATCAAGCTTTCGTACAAAATGCAGCAGTTTTCTTATAATTCTCCGTTTCCATCTGTGTCTTTTCCTCTGAGTTCTCAGAGCAATTGGATATTGTTATTTTATATCGCAGTAGATATGTATGCAATTTCATTAAATATATAATTAATTGTGTTAATGTGTCTATATTTCTAACCTTACCTTTACTTCCTCATCATTGTGCTACATAGGTTCAGTGTTTATGTATCTAGGACAAATTTCAGTGACCTCTACAAGTAATGGGGTGTTATTTTACAGGGCATTTCCTGACAATAGTTACACGCAACTGTCACTACTTTCCTCCTAGCAGGAACTGCATGGTTCACTGCCAAGCACTACAAAGACTCCTGATATAGGTCAATTATCACTGTGTCATCATTATAAGAGGTGCTGTAAATTTATCCCTGTACACACATACACTATACCATTTAAATTGTTTGAAATTCACTACTATATCACATTGGCTGGTGGTGATTTCAAGATTCCAGTCTTGTGCAAGGCTTCTTAGTGATTTTTGTGGTGTATGTTCTAACCTAGCCCCTGTTTAATCTTGTTTTTCTTTGGTAAGCACAGAATTTTAGCAGATTTTCTGGCTTAAAGTGATCCAGTAAACCTAAATTTTCTGATGAATTTATGTATGTTTGCTGTACTTTGAACTGTGATCCTGGGAAATTTACAGTAAAATTTTGTATGACACTTTCTAGTGGAACCACATTTCACATGCAATTCAAACAGATAAACAAGTCTTAGATAAACATGCTGTTCAACAGTATATCAAACCATATCCGTACACAACAATAATCAGTAGGAAACATGATGTTAAACACAGCTGCACTCTGTGTCAATAATTCTAGTAGCAGTTGCTGTTGGTGCTGGCCAGTGGTGAAAAGACGCATGTAATAATGTCGGCAACCACACTACATAATTTTATTATAAATCATTCATTATGTTGATACCACTGTCCTGCACTTGCACCGCCAAACTGTGGATGGAAAGTCCAACACATTCTATGCTTGAACTCTAGATACTGATAAATTGTGAGCTTCACACCAAAACCACTTTACCTCTGGTGACCTGTAGATAAGAGGCAAGGTAGGCTCCATAGCTGGTCTGGATGCAGTTACAAGGGAAAAAATCCTTGTCTCTCCTAGGTGCAACTGAACCCTTGTCATCCAGTGAGTAGGCAGTCATAAATGATTGGTATCTCCTGGTTCATCATGCTCAGTTATAGTGATAAAGATTCAAATCATCAAGTTGTATATCATTCTGGAATATTTATTAACTTGATGTAAAAAATGAAACATAGCTGTGATAAAAATTGAAATGGTAAATTTATATATCACTGGAAAGTATATCAACTTAATTAAGAATATGTTCTTATTTCAGCCTCTGTTATTCTGCCACTATTTAAATGAATCCAGGTCTCAAAGCACAAATATTCATATTTAGGATACCTCAGTTTGGAAAATAAGTCTGTGCAAATCATACTTTAGGAATTTGAAGTTTAAAATTAGTAAGGTAATTTAAATAATATGAGAAAGGTGTAAGAACACTAGCAGTTATATTCATATAACAGTCAGGCAGAAAATAAAAACAGTTGTCATAAGTTTTCCATCATAAAGTAACACCATTATATTCAGAATTAAATTTTTAAACTTACTTTAAAGTAGCAAAATTCTTATTTTAACCTTCAATGTTATGAAAGAAGTGCCAGTGTATTGAACATCAGTACATATAGTTTAGAATTACTTCTGATGATCTATTTATATACATACTGCTTATGTGATTGTCTGAAAAGACATCTGCAGAATGTCTTGTCTTATTTTAACTTATTCCTCACTAATTATTATAATCAGAGCCATCTAAGGCACTGATTTGATTTCACTGCTTGGCTTACATGTTTACAAAGTTCAGATACTCCACTATGCATGTTTTAGCATGTTTCTTTGATAGACCTGCTAAACTCCACTACATAATACACGTGTTCTTAGAATATATCTCATTTTCCATCCTGTAAACACATTCAAACAATGTCAGCTGTGAAATTACTACTGTTTACTTTAGTAACTGAACATCTAATATCAGTTTTATTGTTCTTATCTGATTTTTTTATCTTTTAACCTTTGTCTACATTATTCTCAATCAAAACAGCTAACATCTGTTGACTGCAATCAGCATAGATATTTGTCATTAATATTCAGTATGGGTTGTATTACAGACTGTAGGAATTATGCATAATTGCATTATTCCAGAGGTGGCACTTCAGGGTTATCTTCAAAGTCAGTTGATACTGCAGACTGTCCCACATCTTTTCTTCTCACATGTTCATACTTATTATGTTTATTTATTTTGACAATCTTGCTGAAGTCCATGTCATCTGACCTTCCAATTTCCAGCAACTCCCTTCTGTAACATGTAACAGTTTTTATTTGTCAATTCACATGCTTCTTTAAACATGGTTGTGGTTGTGGTCATTTGGTTGTTTTACAGTATTTATTTAACTGGCGGGGTTATGTAACACTAATGTATAATATGATGTCCTTCAATAATAATATAGGAGGAAGTCACAATGATCTATTTTAACCTTTATCAGCCCTGTATCATGACACATAAGCAGTCCAAATGAATCCATCTTGCATTAGCTTATTTCTAAACATTAAACTGTGTAGTTAAATTCTAAGCAACCAGCCTGTAGTACAGGCTTTCAAATCTGCTATTCTTATTTAATAAAAATTAAAATACCACAGTAATATTTGTCATGATGGCCTGAAGGAAACTATGACAAATTCAATCAGGATTGCCAATCTTCAGGCAGGGGTCAAACTACATTTCACCTGAGCAAAAACCAGACATATTATTGCTGAGCTAGCCTACTTTGAATTATGTCTTCTTCTGAGGTGATAAGCAAAGTAATTTTTGTGACAACTGACATACAAAATAGGATTTCATGTATTCAGTCTTTATTGAATCAAACCTAAACCTTTTATCAGTACACTTTACTGAAACTTCTAGCAATATATGATATTGTTAATTGTATATAATGGAATCTAAAATGTTTCTGTGTGCTAAATATTTAAAATGAGTTCTTCCTCTGTTGTTCTAATAGCTGCATGTTAGTAAGTTAGGAACCAAGACATTAATGATATAGAGGGCCATACCGCATTGTTTTTGAGTGAGTTCTGACTTCTTCGTCTTGCTTCACAGTTTGAACACATTTCACTGTCTTTTGCTTTATTCCACCACTCATCTGCAAAGAATTATCAATAAAGTTCTTTAATGTTTGTGGACAGAAGTACATTGACATAACAATAAGATTATTCACACATTTCAGTGTTTATATAAATTTCAGATTCTTCAAGCTTACGCATTCAGACTGACTCTACTTTTAGAGCTGCAATGCTTCTGGCTTTTTCTACAATCCATAACACTATTTCACGACCCCAAAAGAACAGAGTTCGTTTCTGAACTGCATTGACAAGCTACATGTGTATCCATTCAATCATCCCTCAATTCAACTGTGGACATATATACATTAAATGACAAATGTTTTATTAGGTACAATTTTGTTAATGGATACATCCACTTGTTGGTACATTTTAACTCCATGGAGTGTGTTCACACTTATTTGGTGGGAACAAAACTGATTTTGTATGATGGGAAGACAAACAAAATAGTGCAGATAACTTTACTTTTACAAAAATGGTGACCAAACAAAAGTATTTTGTTTTAGTGATGTTAATTAATAAGTTACTGTGAACTGATGCATGTACTTTATAAGGTGGATTATTATAATTCACATAAATTTTAAACCATCAGATAAAACTTTTCACCTGTTCAGCAGTCCGGCTATTACCCTTTTGAACTCGAGTGATGTTTTCTTGGCTTCGGGTAACGGCTTACTAGGCCTGTCATACCCTACACCCAAGTGGTGGGGCTGCCACCGAGTCCTGGGTACCTCTTTGTGGTGGTAGCCCTCCCTTACTGGGGCTATGGGTGCTGCCGTCCACCTTTTAACAGGTTTCTCCGCCACCGTCCCTAGACTTCAGAAGAGGAGTTGTGGAGGGACAGGAACAGATGGAGGGGCTTTACCAAGTGGACCCGACCCCAGGCTGGAAACAGCAATGGATGATGATGAGATACAACTTTTATCATCTACATTTTATGTGTTGTTCATTACCCTACATGTTTCAGTAGCCATCTTAAGGGGCTCCTTTTATATCTTTATTGAGCTACAGAGCACAACAAATTTTATGTGGACCATACAGCTTGTGAAAATCATGTAAGGAGCCCCTAAATATGACTTGTAAGGACTGAAACATGTAAGATGATGAACAACAGACAAGTGTAGATAACAAAAAGTTATATGTGATGGTTTAACATTTGAGCAGATTAAAATTCATTCAACATGAGGAAACATAAAGTTACTTTTAAGGTTGTACGTTATAAACACATCTACTAGAAGCAATATTCAAGGTCCTCATGGTGACAAGTACGAAGATGCAACATCCTAGAAGATAGTCATCTGCATCTACTAGTAGGTGGAGAGACTTTAAAACCTACTCAGTCTAATCTTTCAGAACTAAAAAATTCAGTATGCAAACAGTAAGTATTGTACTACTTGCTTTAACCTTTCTACAGAATGCCCTTACCTTGGGCATATTTATGACAAGGTGACCTGTTGTTTGTGATCTCTGAGCTGTGGATGACTCTATTTTAATTTCCTCAGGAAAAACAATTTGAAATATTTTGCCTTTTACGAGCACTTTCACATAGGTTGGCTGGATGTCCACATCAAGTAGAGCTGTATCTAAGTACCTGAAATAATATTAAATTATCAGTTCCTTCAAACATGTTTATAATTGTTGAAAATGTTACTACAAAGCACGTGAAAGAGGTAATGATCATAGAACTGAGTTAACATTGACAGTCATAGCAAAAGCTAATAATATGAAAGATTCCCCAATGACTTTATTTTTATGATGCCTCCTGCTATAGCCTTTTGACCTTTTCTTGGCTTCTGCCCACTTGGTAACAATGATATGGAGACCATGAAGATCATTATATCAAGCACAGCGAACAGAAATGGAATCTTACCGTAGGCTCCAAATCATGGTGGGACCTTTGTGTTCCTGATATTACAAAAAATTTTTGACTTTGACAGAATTGAGGTAAGTAGAAACGTGTGGCCTGGCATCTGAAAGACTTCAGTTTAAAAATGGAGAAACAGTTAACGTTTCATAAATATTTGTCATAAAAGTACATGATCTGAACTGTTATAGGCAAGATTTGCTTAATTATATTTTATATAAAATTATTTTTTGTCTTTGCTGTTTTCTAAATTTCTCAATCTCTGATCTAGTTTCAAGGCAAACATAACTGGCTTTTAACAATGCATAATGTGATATACAGTATGTCCACCATGGCTTCATTGCTTGTCATACATCAAAATATAATGCCTTACTATGCAGAGCCATAGCAGTAAGCAATAGAAATGATGTGTGATGTCACAACTATGCACTTTTTTTCTTTGGTTTCTGGAATATGTACTTGTAAAAGTGTCATAATAAACAAACAACTTAGTACTTTTGCTCATTTTATTTTAAGATGAACCCAGGCAAAGTACATGTGCTTAAATCAATGGGAATGGAGAAGTGTATCAATGGAAGTGACATTGAAAGGGTGAATTTTGTCTGTGCATGATACCCCGTTTGCTGTCTATGTAAATCTAATAGACATCAGCAAGGTGATAGCAGGAGGTTTAACTGTACCTTTAATGCATTTAATTGGTTTTGTTATTATACTAGTGATTTTCTTTAAATTGTGGGAAACATAAGGTATGTCAGAAAGTCGATAAATCTGTCACATACTTATACACAGCAATGTCTAGCACGAGGCTGTTTGTCGCATCATTCTCAGTGAGAATAAATGGTATCTTGGCCTCATTAACATTAAGAGGCTTTCCATCAGCATTGAACAGTTTGTACACCCGTTGTGGTGTTTTTGCTGGGTCATTATCATGTCTTTTTTGGTTTTGTTCCAGCTGTTTAAGAACGTGTTCTGCTATCTGCATTCTTGTCTCTGGGCTGTGGTCACTCACTTCAGACCAGTATCTGAACAAGAAAAATGATAAATTGTAATATTAACTTCCTTTTACTTTTGTAAGAACATTTTTTTTTAAAGCTTGACATTTTAGTTTTGTCATAATCCGGGCGATTTTATTCTGGCTTCTCAGCTTAGAAGCATAAGATCAATTACAAGTCAGCCCATGGAATATATGTGGTGGTTCCTATTGTCATCTGACTATCTTATGGATCCATGGAATGTAATAAAATATGTATGTATGTACTAGGGCAAGTTTCACTGTGATTACTTCAGTACAGTTAGAAGCAGAAACAGTAACATAAAATGTTAACTTAAAACATGTTGGATGATACATAAGAGCTTCACTTTATAAGCTTCTAAAGTGCCTTCTCCAAGAAATGGAATCACCAGAATGGACCATAAGAACTGCTACAAAATTACTGAAACCATAGCTTTACAAAACTGCAAGCGTGCTCTCTTTGCATCTGCATGGTCCACAAGCCAGACTTAATTTCTATAAATGATGTCTTCAGTAAATCCATATAATTAAAAACAAAAGTTCATGGAACCTATCAGCATGTGGAAGAACTCAGATAAGTATTCATCTTGCAGTGTCTCATGTATATAGATGGTCCTCATGATTTTGAAATGAAGCCATGGATAGCAAAAGCATGTATGATGACAGTCACCTGTATTTATAAACAACTCAAAGCATGAAAGCATAATGGAACTCTGTATAAAGCAATGACAAAAATTTCAGTGCGATAGCTGCTATAAAATGGCTCATCCCGCATTTAGAAACATGTAAAACATCAGCCAGATGAAATGAACTAGGGAGGGAGGGATAAAAAATATTGATGCAGAGTTTAGCACATGATTAGGTGGAAAAATGAAAATTATAGAGCCTGTATATCTACAGGCACCACAAGTTGAAAACCCAGCAATATATTTGTCCCTACTCTTGCAATCTCTCCTCTTCTGGTTTGTCTTGTGCTTCTGCATATTTCTTCTCCTCCTCCTCTATCCTTTGCTTGGCATGCTGTTTTTGAGCTAATCTCATCACTGTAAACAGAATTGTTATCAGTTCATTAGCTACTGTTTGCATAAAAGCTCCTATTTCTGGATGAAGGCCTGAGTAGTACTAATTATTACAAAAACACAGCCTATATTATCACTCTCCAGTCAGGCATAGACGTTATCAGCCTTAGGAACACTATTGCTTTAAATATCATTACTCACAAGCAATGATGTAAGAGTTGGTATTAAAAAGTTATCTATTTAATTATACAAAACCACAAAAACTTGTATCAGGAAGAGGGTGCAAGAAGATTTAAACTTCTAAACCACCTTTGTTACTTGCTGCATTTGCTTACAATATGCTGTGGTATACTTTAGATATTCCAAATGATGTATGTTATCTAACATTAATTATTCTGTGTATCAAAACTGTGTGACATACCTAGTCAAGAAAGCACTGTTAAACAAACCAAAGAGGAACAGACCTTTATATTCTTGTTCATGAGACAAAATAAACTTCTTGACTTCTTCATACTCCTGGGCTGCCAAAATTCTTTCACATCTCTCAATCTCCTGTCCATCCAGAATTTTCAGTTGTGGCAGAGTTACAATAACATATTTTCTGTAGCCTTTGAAATCAGCACAAGGGTTGCCAGTCAAGTATCTTAAAACACATCATAAGTTTTGATTTTTTATTAATATAAAGAAAAATTATTTATGTCCTTAGAAAAACACAATTTGTTGAAAGGTATACTTACAGTGATTGTAGATGAATATTATTTTTCAAACTTTGCACACTTGTAAGTTCTCCAACAAAATTAACAGTAAGATCTAGCTTTTGGAGTGATTCACAGCCTTCCAAATTTTCTATTCTCTCAATGTTATTCAATGCCAAGTTCAAGTATTCAAGTTTCTTCATCCTTGATAAATTTTCTGAAACCACACAAACTGCATATATAATTATATAATTTACTACTGTTCTTTATTTAATTCTTGCTTTGAGAATTTTTAATTGATAAGTACCATGCAGATGGGAACCAGGGTAGCTCAGTGAGTATAGTGGCTGACTACAGACTAGACAACTGGGGTTCAGTCCCCAACAGGGGCATAGGATTTTTTCTCCAGACCAGCTCTGGAGCCCTCCTAGCCTCCTAACCAATGGGTACCAGGGTCCTTTCCTGGAGGTAAAGCACGGCTGGGGCATGACATTGACCACTCACCCCTATCTAGTGCTCAGATTAAAAATGAGTCAGAGATATATTGTCTCCCCCCCCCCCCCCAAGGGCCTACATGGAATATAGCAGGACAGCATCACTTTACTTTGGTAATATGTGGATAAAACTAACATTTATATTTTCTGTAACTCTGTGTCACAGAAAAAAGAATAGAATTTATTTACATTACATAGTTCCTTCATAGACCAAGCCAAGAATGTAGAACATGTCCTAACACAAACACAGTACTTGTCTCTAATACAAATATAAATTACATAGTTATGATCGTAATTTACAGTCATCTACAGTATTATCACAAAAATAACTACACAAGAAAATATAACATGCAAAGTCAGTTTCTGGATATCAAATAACAGTACTAGTATCATCTGAAAAAATTATGTGTTTAGACTGAGATTTAATGGTTGGTGGTAAATCATTGATATATATGAAGAAAAGCAGATAACCAAGCAATGAACCTACAGAAACTGCACATTTTATAATATCCCATTCTGAACAGGTGCTATTATTTGAATCTGCTGATTTTGTTTCTACTTGTTGCCTTCTGTCATTAAAGCACAATTTAAACCATTGACCAGCTATATTTTGCACTCCATAAAAATGTAGTTTTGACAATAATAATTCATCTCATTTATATTTGCAAGATATTTTGATGCCTTTAGTAATCCACTCACAATTTTCAAATATCCTTTTCATTGTTTTTGAGGGAAAACTTGCTTTGAAATAATAGTGCCTTCATTTATAAGTGGGGTCTGCAGTGGCCGCGCGGTCTGAGGCGTGAGCCTTGTGCCATTTGGTCACTGGGACCGTGTGTTCGAATCCCACTCAAGCCATGGATGTTTGTCCGCATTTTTCTGTGTTGTGCTGTCCTGTGTACAGGTAGAAGCCTTGTGATGGGCCAATCCCTCATCCAAGGAGTCCTACCAAAAAATGTCTATAGATCAAGCCAACGAAAAGTTGGGACCCGCAGTGCTCAGGCACTTGAAGAACGGGTTGCTCCCAGTATCCCAGTCATTTATAAGTCATACTTATTTCCTGTAATTATGCTAATTGGAGACTTATTCCATATTTTTTATAACTATAAGTTGTGCATCATGATCAGATAGCCCATTTTTCACTGTTTCAATAGAAATATGTTCTTTCCTGGAACTGACTAATAATCAAAGGAAAAACATTTTCAGTAACAGCTTAACAGAATAGCTTCATTCATTGTGTTTTGTAAGAAGAAGAGAAATTTAAATTTTATGAAATCTCTATTAGAAAATAGGGAAGTTATAATACTTTATCTGTCATATTCAGTAGTGCATATTTTGTTTTAACAATAAACTCAAGAACCTATAAATAAATCAGTATTTTACCAATTTTTGGGATAAGATTGGATTGTAGGAATAGTATCTTTAGATTACGACACCATTTGTCAAGACCCTCAATTTTGTCAATGTTCTCTTGGTGCAGAGATATTTCTTCCAGTGTTGATATTTCTCCTTCATTGTGTTCTGACCGTTTTCTCACAAGATCCACAGTAACTAGAATTAAACACACAGCCTTACTACAGTAAAATTCTTCTGTAATATTCAATTAAATGTGGTGACAGTTAAGTGTCTGCAAAGAAAATGGAATACACTGAATTATTATACTACTTACTTCTTACCATTTTTTTGTTTTACCGATATTACTAAAGTAATTTTATACTAGCAAGTCTTGCCTTGTGCTACTGTTTGTATTAGTTGTCATAGCAACAACACAAAAGCGCATGTAATGCTTCACTTGTCATTGGCCGTAATGGCA